AGTATGTGTTGTGTTAGACATTCAGTTTACTATTAAATTTTACTAATGAAGTTTTTAACTCTTTAATTTTTTAGGTAAAACAGATAGAGAAAAGAGATTCAGTTCTAACATCCAAAAATCAGATTGAAAGGTTGACGCGTCCTGGATCCTCTTACTTCAATTTGAACCCATTTGAGGTGAGAAGATTAATACTGTGGTGGGGAACTTGTCATATCTGCAGGTAGACTTATATCAGAACACATCCCTAATTTGTACCCGGGTTGAGAAAAATGATAACATGATGGAATTTGGATAGTAATTACAGAGTTAAAGGTTTTTTTTTTTTTTTTTTTATGTAGAATTGGAGAGGCACCAGCATGTTAAAATGAGATAGCCTTCCTGTCAGATATTCTCACTTTTTAGCAATCCAAATAAATATACAGTACAAGGAGTTAGCCAAGCATAGTGGTATATGCTTGTAATCCTAGCACTCTGGGACACTTAAGCCAGGAAGATTGCAAGTTCAAGCCCAACCTGGGCAGTTTAATGACTTAGGGAGTCCCTATCTCAAAGTGGAAAATGAAAAAAAAGGGACATTGCTCAGTGTCAGTGTTCTGGATGCACTCCCCAGTGTTGGGGAAAAAAAAAAATCCAATAAAAATGGATTTATTTTTAGATACAAAGGACTAGCTAGTCCTTTCTTGATGAAATGATTGATTGGTTGGTTGATTGATTGATTTTGGTGGACCCGGGGATTGGATACTTGATTTAAACCATGTACTTTTTAAAGTTGAGCAATGTAGTGCAGGGCTGTAATCCCAGGTTTCAGGAATCTGATGGCAAATTCAAGGGCTATCCTGGGTAAGTTAAGATCGTGTCTCAAAAAAGGGGTAGGATTGTAACTGAGTGGTGAGTACCTCTGGGTTCAGTCCTCAATAGCACATGCACAAAAATGAAATTGAACTATTAGGTGGTGTATTGTCACATGCCTGTAATCCCAGTAGGTAAGGAGGCTGAGGCAGTATGAGTTTGAGGTCGGCCTAGACAACTTACTGAAACTCTCTCAAAATGAAAAAAAAAAAAGAGCCAGACATGGTATTGCACACCTTGTAATTCTAGTATTCTGTGAGGTTGAGGCAGCAGGATTGTAAATTCAATCCAAGTATGGACAATCTAGCAACTTAGTAAGATCTTGCCTAAAACTTTATTATTATTATTATTAATTATTATTACTATTATCATTTGGTGCTGGGGATTGAACTCAGGACCTTGTGCTTGCCAGGCAGGCACTTAGGCAGATGAGTTATCGCTCCAGACCCTAAAAATTTACAAAAAGAAAAGAAACAGAAAAGGAAAAAGGCCTGGGGATATAACTTAGATTTTAACTTTACTTTCTAATACTGGTAAATAAAATAAAGTAAAATAACTTGGGAAATGTAACTCAATGGTAGAGTACCTCTGGCTTCAGTACCCAGTACAAAAAAGTAAGCTAGTTAAAATATTTCTGTTTCATAGCAACCAAAAGTACTAGATTCCCAACAACTACAAAATAAAGATTATAAGATTTTTTTTTTTTTTTTTTTGGTATTGGCGATTGAACTCAGGACCTTGCGCTTTCAAGGCAGGTGCTTATGCCACTGAGCTGTCTCAGCTGAAAGATTGTAAGATTTATTTATTTTTTAATCTTAACGTATTTTTTGCCGTACCAGGGATTGAACTCAGGACCCTATGCTTGCCAGGCAGGCACTTATACTGAGCTGTCTCCCCAGCCAGTCTTATTTATTTATGTATTTATTTGGTACAGGGTCTTGCCTACGCAGCTTGTGCTCATAGTGATCCTCCCTGTCTCAGCCTCCCCGACTCTGGGATTA